TTATGCGCAGAGAAAGGAGGGGTGTGTGTGAAGAGGTTATGGATAGAGAGTGACAGACATAAAGGGTGGGGGTTATGTGTGTGCGCTTGTTGTAGAAGAGAAATAATAGAGAGAGGGGAGGGGAAAGGAGGATAGAAGAGGGAATGGAGAGAAATATTTGAGAGTTTGGTGAAACCGATGCTATGGCATAGAGGATGGTGGTGATGACGATGGCTATGGGATGTTGGGAGGTAGAGAGAGAGTTGGGGGAGGTAGAGAGAGTTGGGGGAGGGAGAGATAGTGAGGGAAAAAGAGTCGGGACTGAGATGGGTGAGGGGAGAAGAGTCACAAGGCAAAAGAGAGAAAGAGAGAAAGAGGAGAGAGATTAACAGGTGATGGGAGATGTGGAGTGTTGCAAGAGATTTGATTCACCTGTGAGGAAAGAGGTAAGAGAAAAGGTTGTGCGGGAAAAACATTTGGCTATAGTGATTGCATACCGTTTGATGGATTTTTGGTTAATTTGAACCCTTTTAATGCTTTATGGGGGGTATATTTTCAATTTAGAAAGTGTCATATTAGATAGACATGTGAATAATTTATATACACATATATGTACATATAGATGTTGTTTAATGTGTCTATGACATGCCTATGTCCAACTTTTTGGAGAAACATTGTGTGACTGTGTTGACTATCCATATCTTATTGTGTTTGTGTTATGTGCTCCCTAGGCGGTGGTGGTCATGGTGGTTATGGCTTGAATAAAGTGGCATTGGTGGTAGTGGTTTTATTGGTGGAGTAGGTACTATATGGTGAAGATTTTATGTGTGAAACGGGAGAGAGATGGAGAGAGAAAATACATGTAGGGGGTGGTAGTGGTGGTTTGGAAGAGAAAGAGAGAAGGGTGAAGGGAAGGGTCATCACTACTGGAGGGGATGAGGGGGGAGGAAGAGGGGGAGACGCAATATGGTGTGACAGTGGTTGAGGACTAGATGGATGATAGGTTTGGTGGGGTCAAAGATAAGGGCAGAGTGGTGATTGTGGTTATGGTGTGGGTTGGTGAGATTGGGGAGAGTTGTTTGAGGGTGTTGGAGTGTTAGACCAATAATTTTTGACCTATTTTAATTGAAATGGACAGTTATCCAGTAAATATGAAAAGTTTAATTAATCATCAAAATGATATTAATTATTAGTATTGCGTTAATTACCGTGTTAGTTATGAACTATTACATTTAATAGTTTATTAAGTTTTCAATTTCAAGTTAAAATGAAATTAATTTTCAATTTTTTTTGGGGTAATAATGTCCTAAAAATTTTAACCTTATTGATGAGGGGTATTTTTGAAAATATTTTTTCATGTGATCATTAATCATTAGCATCCATAACACAGGGGGTGCTCGTATAATTTATTATGAATATCAAGGGTCTGTATTAAATTTACCCTCACTTTTTTATTAGAACTTCCCCTCCCCCCCAANTAGATGCCGAAAAGCTCACGTTATTGCGTTATATCTCGAGAAAGCCCAAAATACGTAAGCCTCTAAAAAATCGAAATTAATATGTAAAATCACAAAATTCATCACCCATAACTCAACACAAATTAATGAATTAGTTTACTGTGATTTGTACGTGTGTGTGTGTGGGGTGTGGGTGTAGGCGCGTGTGTTCTGTGCGTGGGTGGGTATGTATTTGAAAACATAGGGTTTCGAGGAGGTGGGGGAGGTGCTNTTATGAATATCAAGGGTCTGTATTAAATTTACCCTCACTTTTTTATTAGAACTTCCCCTCCCCCCCCAAAATAAATGATAATTTAACCTATAAAAAATCTACCACACCTTAAAAACATATATATATATATATATATATNAAAAATAAATGATAATTTAACCTATAAAAAATCTACCACACCTTAAAAAAATATATATATATATATATTTTTTTTATCCACCTAAAGAACATATTCAACTAATCTATAAAATTCTATTTAAATGCGGTCACATTAGTTTAAAAATTCTTGCTATTTCACAAAAATGACTCGAACTAGCATGCGGCCACCTCACCAGTATTGTTAAAGATAGAAATTGAAGAGTACATGAGAGACCTCGTGTTATTTTCTTTTGGAACAATGTTAGTCGTTGATCTGAATGTATATTGTCCTTTAAAGAAAACTTGGTAGAAGCACTCCAGCATGTGTAAGCTGATTGAAAGAGTGATTGATGTAGGTCTGTGGTGAATATGATAAGTACAATAGAAATTAAACTTGGATCAACTGAGATCACGGCTGCAAACTTGTGGAAATATGATTTTGATTAGGGATCAGCAAATGTAATTAAATAGGCTCTTAACCACTTGCAATTCAGAAGTCCAGAAGAAAGAAAACATTGCAGCAAGAATTGCAAGAGAGGTGTGAGGAAGGTGACCTGGGGTTGATCTACTTGGGGAGCCCTCAGGAAAGTGTAAGGTCTGTTTGTTGCTGACTTCTAGACTTGCCTGAAAAACCTCAAGAATACCCAAGCTAGATTAGTCAAACCTCAGCCTTCCACCTTCCACCTAAAAAAACTTAGAAATTTTGTTAACGTAGCTTGTATTATTGTTATAGATATATTGTGGAAGAAAAATGACTGAGTTTTTCATTTTCTATCTGAACTTCTTCCTTGCACTGGTGATTGCAACCTCAATTTTATAGTTCGCGTCACCATTTTTCTTTTCTCCCCACCTCTCTCCCCGCAACCCCCACCCCCTAAAAAAAAAAAAAAAAAAAAATAATAAA